GATCGGGGCCAGTGTAGACGCTCTTTTCCGGCTTTTCTAAAAGCCAGAAAAAAGCGGCGGACATTTTTATTTAAATGCCGCGGGGGATATTTAAATCCCCCGCGGATTTCCCTATTACGATCTCTGAAATTAACATGCCCCTTTCGGAAAAGGGGCCAATGTAGACGAGCCCAAGTAGTTTATTTCCTGACAGCTAATAGCTGTGCCCCATAAATGGAAGAACAACATAACAAAGAAGAGGCATATCTTACGTCCCTTCCTGCAAGCCTGAGACCCTGGGCAGGATATGGATGAAGTGGGAGGTTGTCTCAGCTTCCGAGGCGCTGGTACCCAAAGCCCATCGGTGAAGTCCGATTTGCTAGGCTCTGAGGCAGCCTTAAATACAGTTTTCCCTGCCTTGTTTGGCAGTTTGGAAATTTCCAGGATTTACTCATTACATGCTGATGTAGGGCTTAGCTGTTAGTAATCTGTACATTAGGGTAAACAGAATTGTTTAACCCCCATTCAGGATCTGGATCTTCTTGTTCTATGGCCCTGTTTATGTAATCCGTACGTTAGGGTAAACAGAATTGTTTATGCGTTCTTGCCCTTTACCCTTATCTTATACTTGTTCTTGCTATACTGGCAACAATGCTTATCTTAAGTGGCGTATGTTCCCATAGACTTGCTTCTGACTCATCAGTAGTAGGGAAAAGGGAAAGGGGGGAAAGAATGCAGGCCTCACCACCCCTAAACTAACATGTACAAAGTTCTTCTGCAATTAACCACTACAAGTGGTGAGGGTTGGATTAGGAAGATAAGGGTGTATGTTGCGGTGGGAGTCGATGGGTAGGATTCACTTTGGGGGAATGAAGAATAAATTTTGCTCTTGCATTTGTTGTTTATGTCAATTTGAATTTTTAATGCATGGCCACCTTTCAGAAAAACCCTTCTATGTTTCATATAAGTTTTCCTGGACTGGAGCCCACTTCATCAGCTATATGAAATGGAAACTTCAGTTTGGCAGGGATCTATACACATGCAGAGATGGAAGTGTGACATTACTATTCAGAGTACCAGTGCTAATGTGTAATGTCACACACTCATCTTTGCATGTGTATATATACCTACTTCATGTATCTAATGAAGTAGGCTTCAGTCCACAAAAGCTTATGCCTGAATAAATTTGTTAATCTTTAAGGTGTTACCAGACTCCTCATAGTTTTTGCATAAGCAAACTGACATGGTTACCCCTCTGAAATTTTTATGTTTGCGTTTTAAGACTTGAGGTGAATTATAGCATCAAGTGCTTCCTTTGAAACAGCTGGTACTAGCCTCTGCTGGATTTAGGATACAGCACAAGGTGGACCATTGGTCTGATTCATTGGTCTGATCCATTATGGTGATCTCAATGTTCCAATGTACAGTTCACAACATCGCACATCCACTGATAGGTAGCAGTAGACTTGTAAAGACAAGTAACAACATACCAGTCACCTCTAATTATTAGGGAGGTAGCACAGAATCTAATAAGTAGCACTAGACTTCTGCAACAAAATGAAAAAAATTAAAGCTCTCTGCAATGACCTGATGCAAATCCCTAAGCTATTCAAACTGCACACACTAATATATACACAATATAGTCTCTAGCCTGCCAAGTACTGCATAGATTTCTCACAACTCCTGCTATTTGGCCTCCATGAGGTGGCACAGCTACTGTTATAGGTACCTTGTACAGAGAACTCAGAATCTCCATTGCTGCTTTACCCAGGTCCATGCATCGACAGCGGATATGCCAAGTGGTGTCTGTCTCTTCATTGTGCATGCTGACAAAGCACTCAAGTGGCACGGGGGTTGCACTAGTGCTGGCTTTTACACTTCCTCAGTCTGAACAGTGGGAAGGAGCATGAATTGTTGGTAGGAGCATGCACAGTTGGATGTGATAGCTGAGAAGGGTAGGTAAATGGCTCAGGCAGATTTGCTTTGACCTCCTTTTGAGCCCTGCATAAGAAATATTTCCCAGTATTTCACCTGGAAAAGAGGCCAGATGAATATGAACGCATGATAAATGGCAAGAAACTCACATTTGTAGATGGCATGACAGAAGGTTAGACAATGACTGAAATGGTGGATTGTAGTTCAAAATACATCACAGGATTTTTCTGCTGCTTTTTAAACACAACTGTGCTTTTCCCTGAACATGTACAGCTCTGTTCTTTTCCTCACATTTAATATCTAGTCTTGCTGGCATACATTCACCTCCCTCAATACCAGTTCCTCATTCTTCCTCCAGAAAATATCTCTTGTGTTCCAAGTGCTGGGGACTATAGTGGATCACAAACTGAACCCGAGTCAAAATTATGGTGCAGTCACTGAAAAAGCTAATGTCATTCTGAGGTGTATTGACAGAAATATTGCATGTAAGACATGGCAGGTGATTGCCTATTTGCTCAGGCCTGGTGAGACCACAGCTGAAGTACTGGGTCTAGTTCGGGTCGCCACACTTTAAGAAAGACATGGGCATATTGGAGAGTCGAGGAGAAAGCAACAAAAATGATAAAAGATTTAGAAAAGCTGACCTGTAAGTAATCTTAAAAAATGGATATGTTTTTAAAAAAGAAAATTGAGGAAGAAATTAAGTCTTCCAATCAAGAGGACAGAGATCAGTTGTTCTCCATGTGTTTGAAGATAGGACATGAAGTAATTGTCTTTGTTTGTAGCAAGGAAGATTTAGGTTCGATATTAGGAATAAATTTCTAACTATAAGGATATTTAATCCTCCAACAGAGGTTGTGGAATCCCCATCATTTGAGGTTTGTAAGACCATGTTAAAGAAACACTGTCAGGAACCATGTTCCCTCTAAACTGCATGGAAGCACAGCTTCACAGATGATTAATCAGCCCCGTCCATTCAGTCAGCTCGGTGCATGGAGCCCTGAGCCTCTGACTGGGCAGGGCTGATTAATCACCTGTGAAGCTGTGCTGTCATGCAGCTTAGAGGGAACACTGGTCGGGGCAATCTAAGTTTACTTGTTATGGCCTCAGCAAGGGGGCTAGACTCAATGACCTCTTGAGGTGTCTTCCAATTCTATCTTTCCTCGATTCTATGATCATCGAAAGGAAAGGAAAAAAGGTAACTTAGTTCTGAAAACTTCTCTTAGGGCACAGCTTCACTCACCACACTGGAGATCGATGTTCCAGTGTTTGATTTAGAGGGTCTAGTATAGACCCGTAAATCGAATACAGAGGGCAGCTCCAACTAGTGCTTGTACTCCTCACAGTCACAAGGAGTAAGGGAAGGTGACGAGAGCATTTGCTCCCATCATCCTCCCAGGGTGTGTCTACACTACAGGGTTTTGTCAACAAAAGTCCACTTTTGTCGACAAAACTATACCTGCATTTACACTGCCGCTGAGTTCTGTCGACATAACGTCGACAGAACTGAGCAGTTTTGTCAACATCTGTAAACCTCATTCTATGAGGAGTAATGCCTTTTGTAGACAGAGTTCTGTCGACAGAAGGCGTTACTGCATCTACACTGTCCTTTGCATCTGCACTGTCATGTCGACAAAGAGGCTTGCTTTGTCAACAGAACTGGATGTAGTCTAGATGCTCTTTGTCGACAGAAGCTTTGTCAACAGTATCTGTCGACAAAACTTCTGTCAACAAAAGCCTGTATTCTAGACGTACCCACACAGTGGGGACAGTGCCAAACTCAGCTTAAGGTAAGTTGCATACCTTAAGATGACCTTCCAGAACTAGTATAGACCTGGCCTTAAATTCTGTTGACTTACAATGTGGAGAATATTCCTGAAGTCTGTGAACAAAGAAAAGCCAGTGTTTGCTGGGTCTTAACACATTTAGCACATCATGGAAAGCTGCTTATAACTGAATGGATAAGATATGAGTCCCATAACATGAGTGTGGATGCTGGGATTCAGGAGGGGTAACAGCACACAAAAAAGCTTCAGTGCAGAATACATGAGCATTATTACAGACGAGCGGATGCCAGATTTCCCGTAAGTGTGGTGCTCAGTGGGAAAATGAATAACTTTAATGGAAGCTGGGCTGTGATAACACCACAACATGTGAAAAAGTGCCAAATAAGCAGAGTTGCCACACAATCAGCGATTGGGCTTCAGCATACTGAATTTAGGCATAAAGTGGCAGCACACAAGCACACGTGTCTGCCAACCTAATGGTATTGGGATCAACATCCTAAATGCTTTTTGGAGCTCCCATTTATCCGATATTCGGTGTCCTTACTGAGAGTTGCAGCAGTGAAAATGAGCACAGAAAAGGTAAAGTGTTGCCATATGGTGAACAAGCCCTAAAGGCCAGTCCTGGCCTAAATGTAATAAAATATATAGAAAAGAATAGCCAAGGATCTTTGCCCATGCTCTGTGTTAACATTCAGTTCTCCAGCTGCCCTTGCTGTGCATGCAAGGTGTAACTCTGCATGTTTCAGGAATTCTTTTGCTACAGAAATTTTATAGGACTTCCCAAACCATGATTGTATAGGGCAGTGCTGTCAGACAGGCCATGAATGAAAGTGCAAGGAAAACATCTAGTTGGTAGGTGTTCAATAAGCAGAAAATGCACCCTGATTTAGGTACATTTTGGTAAACCTTTATTTGAGAAACCACAAAGTGTCTTACAGAAAAAAATTACAGAAAGCAAGTCTAATTCTGTAATGACTCTGTTTTCCAGTATTAAGAAAGTGACTCTAGATTTTTAGCTATATTGCAAAAGTTGTTCTAGTGAGCACTGAATATCAAAGTGCAGGTTTACATGCATGTGCACCACATATTGCAAAAGTTGTTCTGGTGAGCACTGAATATCAAAGTGCAGGTTTACATAAAACTTACATGTGCTGCTGGAGTGTAAATTAAAGTTGCCCTCAGGTAAAGACACAGAAAATTCATGTAAATGAGGCCTGCGTTATTTATAAATTGGACCCTGGGAGATTTCTGTCAATTGAACTCCCTCTGTAACTGGCAATGGATTGTGTAGTGTTCAAAATGAAAATAAGTGACACAGACTCAAAAGAATTTTATGCTACCTTTAAAAAGACCTTCATGCCTGATTGTCTTTCCAGAATCAATATTTTGGATGATGGAAGCCTCCGAATTGTCAATGTTACTAAGGCGGATGCTGGAAGTTATTCCTGTATAGCCACAAACCATTTTGGGACTGCTAGCAGCACGGGAAGTTTGGTGGTGAAAGGTAACAACAGTTCTTATTATACATCGCTGATACTTCCACCTTAATCTCTAACAGAGAAAGAAGATGACACAGATGTTCCATGCTCTTTAATTTCTCTGATCCTGAGTGGTTCTGAATTCCACCAGCTCCCAGTGAAGTTAATGGGAGCTGTTGCCACCCCACCCCTTCTGTTGTAAAGCTGTATGACTTGTACAGAAATTGCAGATTCTCACATGTCAAAGTTTCCCAATGATTTTAAGTATCACAGAGAACAAAGAGATGGTAATAGTAAAATCTGTTTGATGTCTTGAATAATATTTATAGCGAGGTGGTACTATGTTATGTCATACAAATAAGATTAAATGGAGTGAAATATAGGAATATAAGAATTGTTGGACTGCATCAGACTAATGGTTCATTAAGTCCACTGTCCTGTCTCTGACAGTCACCAGCACTAGACACTTCAGAAGTTGCCTCCCTAATGACAGCTGTGCACTACAGCTTCATTTTAAGTCTATTAAAGTCAGAATACTCATGGAGGAAATTTCTTACCCTAAACAGTTAATGGCTAGCTTCTGTCCCTATAAAAATGATTATCTAATCTAATGCTTCTGTAAATGTCTAATCCTTTTAAAAGTCCTGGTAAATTCTTAATAATTGCAGGTTTATGAAATAATGCGTAACTTTTGCTCTTGCAATATATCTTTTTATTTTCCAAAATACAAGAAGTGTTTTGTAAGTTTTGATTTATTTATGAATTTATGCCACTGGGTAATATTCTTTATACATCCCACGAATCCCAATTGTATGCCCAGAAATTCTCTCTCAACAAATATTTTTAAAAAGTAAATATAAAATGTCTGACAAAAGGATTTAAGATTCCAGCTAAAGTTAAATGCAGTGACACTGACAAATATCTTAAAGATAACTGCTCATGAGAAGTTGTGTGTCTGATGAATTATTATAGGCCACAGGCGTATAGATTATTACACTGATAAACACTGTCCATCTCTCTTATTTGTGGGAAATGTTATATTGGATAACAGATCAGGAGAAATTGATTTATTATTTTGTACTCAATCATACAGCTCTAATGCTGTCATTTTTAATTTTCCCATATATTGGCATTGATGGACAGTATTGGTTTAGAGGTTCTCCCTATCAATTATTTCTGCAGTATACAGAGACTTCTTAAATATGCTTTTAATGCCCATTTAAACAGGTGCTTTTTATAATCAGAGTATATTTAAACAATCAGTCTCAGGACACCAGCCCTGAGAAATACAGTGATCCCCCCATGATACTATATCTACTACCAGCAGTGAAAGTAACTTCAAATTTCTTACAGGTACTGTCCTATTGCAAGCTGGGTCCCTGCCAGCTCTTCAAATAGCTTCCTGCTGGCTTTTGCCGCAGCTTGGCCAGGGTGCACCAACTTACTTTCACCTCTGCCTGCTATATGCCTGTCTGTACATACGTGATGCAACACATTAATGCTCATGGAGCAAAATCTTCCCTAAGATACTGGGTGTGCATGCATGTCTGAGGCTAGGAACTATCCATATTACACTACAGGTTGAACCTCTCTGAACAGAACTCTCTGGTCCAGCAACATGGGTGGTCCAGAAGGATGTTCCGGACCATGGGTGTTCTAGGACCAGATAGTTCCAATGAAGGGCTGGCAGCTGGGTTCCTGGCAGCTGGGCTGCAAGGCACGACCCAGCTTGGCTTCCCAGCTTAGCAGGGAAGGTGGTGGTGTTGGGAAACAAGTAGGGCAGTGGAGCTGGTGGCGGGCGGTGGAGAGAGAGAGAATGGCCAGTCCAGGACTCGGGGGAGACCAGTAGCAGGAGGACCAAATATAACCTGTCCAGGTCTGGAAAAATTCCTCATCCAGAACCGGCCAGGTCCCGAGAGTATAGGACCAGAGAGGTCCAACCTGTATTAGATCTTTTTTCTCTTTCTCTCTCTCCTTAATTTTATATGCTTCTCTTTATATTGGAAATGTTTTAAGCCTATTGGGGCGATCTTCAGCTGGTGTAAATTCACATAGCCCCAGCGAAGTCAAAGGAGCTTCGTGGAATAATACCAACTAAAGATCTTAATGTTCTTTGCTTCATTTCCCCTCCCTGCCACGCACACACTCTCTCTCTCTCTCCCCCCACCCCCCTTTGGGACCTCTGGATGCTCAGTGTAACATCCTGTCACTTTTGCAATACCATCTCAAAATTCAGCTGTCTTTTTCCAGGCAGATCTCCCATTGATGAGGCTGCTGCATGTGTGAGAATTGAAGGGTCAGGCCCTACAGCAGGACTGGGTTAGGCAAATGCACCTGCACAATGCATATTTCTTTTCTTTCCACTGTGTACCTTTGTGCAATTTTTATTTTAAAATGAAGGCCGGGGGGGGATGATAGTATGTCTTAGAGATAATTAGACTTAACACAGTCACTTCCAGTTTGTGCAGCTTGTGCCTCAGCACATATTAGTCTCTTTGAATAGGAAGTCCCTGAAGTTAGCAATAGGTCTGTGTCTAAGGTGACTCTGGATATTTGAATCTGTTTTCAGCATAACAAATGAGTCTGAGTGTAATTCTGGAAGCTCCTGGAAATAGGACAGCAGGAAATGGTTGTACCCCCACATTAAAGGTTCTGAACACCTCCTATAGGAGGCAAAAGTCTTTGTGCCCCACCATGAGGTCAGCGGGAGTTTTGGACTTCAGTTGGGTGCAAGAGTCTTGAGTGACCTCTGCTCTCATTAATTTTAGTAGAAGCTTCAGCTCCTTGTCGATTTAGAACTCACCTTTTCTTAGAGAAAAGTCTAATTTGTGAATCCTTTGTAAAATAAGATACTAATTTAAATACATTATTATAGTCTGGAAAATATACGCAACAGAACATAACAGTCTTATTGACTTGGAACGATACAGTTCATGAACCCATTATAAAGAAAGCAGATAGGCTGGGAATGTCATACAGAAGTTACTGGGTGGTGCAGGGGCCCTCCCATAGAATGTGATGAAGTTACACGAATTTATGACAGCAGTGAAATTGACCTTGGGCTCATGCTTTGAAAATGGACGTATCAAACGACTGCGAATCCCCATGTGTGAGCACTCATTTGTGCACATCACAAAAAGACCATGGCATTTGCCACAACTAAAGCTGGTTGTAAATCTCAGATCAGGAGAATGCAGGGGCTAGACTTGAGACATTTGTCCAGTATTGGGTGCAGTGGTGGATTTATGTGAAACAATTCTTTCCTGAAACATAGCCAGCTCAACGGGGACACAATTTTCTTTGGGGGTCAGACCAAGGCTGTGGAATGAACTCTCCCAGGAACAAAGGACCATCATAAACCTCCCCACTACTGCTCCAAGTTCAAGTGCATTTCTTTGACTTTGACGTCTCTAAAAATCATGTTGCCCTGTTTTGACCAAAAAGTTGGTCAAAGCTCAGAACCCTAAAGATGTTCCAGATTAATGTGTTTTATATTTTCTTTGGTGCCATTTTGGTTATTTATAGGGAATTGTACAAAACCTTGTGTCTCTGAACGCAGAAGGAACCATAGTTTACAGAGTGCCAACACCAGATCCTGCATTTGTCCATGGTTATACTGTGCACTCAGGCAGCTCCTGCTTGGCTTTCTTCCCTCTTGCTTCTTCTGCTTCTGTCCCAATGGCATAGTGAGGGGCAGGCATGGGGGGATAGTTGCCCATGGGCACCAGGCTAGGGGGCAACAGTTTAGTTCCCCCCTGTCATCCCTCAGCTCACCTGCTCTTCCTCCCCACTTCTCTGCCCCCAGCCCGACTCTCCTCCATCTCTGCCAGCAGGTTAGTGAGGGCAGGGGTCTGGCCCCAAACTGGAGGGGGCAGAGTAAGATGCGATACAATTCCCCCCTCCCTCACAAGAGTCGGGCTCAGCCGCGTGCCAGGTTCGGGGGCCCTGCCATGCGGCAGTGGGTAGGGGAGCGCAAATTTTGCCTTTGCCTCGAGGTGCATAACACCCTCGCTACACTTCTGTTCTGTCTTTGTCTGTTCTCAGTTTTTGTGTGATAACTTTTCCCTATTCACTCTCTATACATCCTCATCCAAAACAATACTCAGCCAAAATCTCTTAGATGGGTTCATACACTTTTTATTTTACACAGAGGCTCATGCTTGCAATTACATGAATTGAAGGGTGATTTCACACCTATCAGTCTCAGTGGGGGTTTAATTCAACCCTTTACAATAAACAGAGCAAAATGTATATGTATCAAAAACAATCAGAACAAGACTCTCCACTCTACATGCCTCTCCCCCTGGAGAGCAGATGAGAAAACAGTCCCTGACCGATGTCAGTCACATTGCTCAATATAGTACTACACGGTGCCAGGATACTATGGTAATGGGAGTGGCATTAGAAACTAGGTACATAGGTGCTCAGACTATGGCTGCTTGGGACACTTCTGCACCCTGTGGCTTGAAGTGGTTTCCATGATAGACAAGTGAGGTCCCAGCACCTCTACCCATATCGATAGAGAAGCATACTTTCCTCGTTTGTGTATGAACTGTAGCATCGTGTTTTAAAGTATAATAATAATAATGGATCTGTTTCTGAGGATAAATGTGACTCTAATCAGCTCTACTGAGGTGTAAGTGTAGGAAGAATTTGCTCTAAGTCCTTCTTCTCAGCATGGGTAGACAGACACAAGCTAGCATGCTAAAACTAGCAGTCTGGCTGCGGTGGTTTGGGCTAGCGACCAGGGTTCAAACCCACCCAGTTTCCTGGTGCCAAGCCACCTCCCGTGCTGCCAAGGCATACTGCTACTTGTAGCATGAGCTAGCACAGCTCCCTGCTGGTGCCCCGGCGAACCCTTAGGGATTGACTCTGATCTCACTTGGATGTAAATCAAAACGAGCTCTATTGAAGTCAAAAAAAGTTACACAGCCATAAAACTAGCATAAATATGATGAGACGCACACCCTGGATCTTTAATGTAAATATAATTGATACAGGGTCTAATTTTTAGAAATGCTAAGAC